TTAGTGAATGCTCGTATCTGGGAAAAACTCGCGCATGGATGCGCTCGTTAGTGGAGGGTCTACTGTACTTGTATAAGTAATATCAGTGCATTCGTGAACATACATTAGACCCACCAGCTGACATGTATTGGACACGTGATGTGATGTGATTTGTTTTGAACATCGACTGGTGGATCTAATGTCTGTTCCTGAATGCGCTGATATTATTTATACAATTACAGTGGTAACTTGACTTGTGTGTGCTCCAACTTATGAGTTTTCCGAGTTACAAGCCGTCGCTCAGTCGATTTTTTGCTTTGAGTTGCGAGCCAAAATCCACATTATGAGCGAAAAAAAAATGACATTTGGCAAAAACTCCGGCCTAAATGGCACAACGAAAGGTGGTTTTGGGCCTTGGTACTTATAAAAACAATGTTAGTGCAATGTTCTCACTGGAGGTAATCGTGTAATTACCTTTAGTTATTCTACAAAAAAATAAAGTTGCTAACTTTTTGACATTTTCAAAATATCTTGCCCTTTACTCCCACACAAATCGCAAAATATTTGGAATATTTCCAATATTCCAGAAGCCAATTGTAAAACAATCATATTTTTATGATTCCTGTCAGTATTATTGCATTTCCTTCAATAAATGGTGGGCTTCATGAAATAAGTCGGTAACTTCCGAGATATTCATATATCGCTGCACTAGTGATCTAGTGCAGTTAGCCTCTCAAAAACCCCATTTTCTCTTGCCCAGGACCAAAGAACATGTTATAGGAAGGAGCAGTAATGATTTTATATGCCCAGACTGATCCTGGACACTCCCCATATTATGGCCTATTTTATTCATTCTAGAGTATATATCATGTTTCTATGTTACTTGTAGTGTTTATTATGTCATATTAGATCAATTCTGATAGATAAATAAGCCACAAAGTTGATATTAGCGTTATATTGAAGTATTTCCTCCTGCCCCTGGGATGGATTTTTGGGGGCTGGAACGGATTAATGGTATTTCAGTTAATTTCAGTGAGGAAAATTTATTTGATATACGTACGAGCAAATTGAGTTATGTGCTCAGTCACGGGATGAATTAAACTCGTAAATCAAGGTACCACCCTATTACAATATTGCATAACAGTAAATCTTCTATTTTTTGGTGTGAATAAAATTTTTGTGAATAAAAAATTAAAATAATTCATCTATAAAGCCTGGAAATGTAATTAAGAAACACAGGAAATGTTATTTTAGTGCCAGGAATGTCAGCATTGTTTATTCTGGACCCTATTTTGAAATTGGAATATATTTTGAACTTTGTGTGAAATTGGCCAAATTACCAATTTCTAATCATTTTATTGGGTAGTTAAAATAGTTAATTGGGCAATTTCTTGTACTCAGTAGATAAAATGGAACTCATACCAGCAAAATAGATAAGAATTTGGTCTAATGGAACAGTGTAATTGGCCAAAAATAGGACTCGAAGTGGTCAAAATTGCCAATGTGTAAATATCGCCAACACAGCAAAATTTGCAGGAGCGTAATTTCATCAGTTCTTGATCAAATTTCGTACTTTTTGTTTTGTTACCTTCAGAAAAAGATTTTCTACCATTTCATAAGAATAATTAAATTTTTTTTTTTAAATTCTTGGACCCTGTGGGGAATTTTCAGATTGGAGGTCCTGACCCGCTTTTTTTTTTTTTTTTTTTTTTTTTTTTTTTTTTTTTTTTTTTTATTATCACACTGGCCGATTCCCACCAAGGCAGGGTGGCCCGAAAAAGAAAAACTTTCACCATCATTCATTCCATCACTGTCTTGCCAGAAGGGTGCTTTACACTACAGTTTTTAAACTGCAACATTAACACCCCTCCTTCAGAGTGCAGGCACTGTACTTCCCATCTCCAGGACTCAAGTCCGGCCTGCCGGTTTCCCTGAACCCCTTCATAAATGTTACTTTGCTCACACTCCAACAGCACGTCAAGTATTAAAAACCATTCGTCTCCATTCACTCCTATCAAACACGCTCACGCATGCCTGCTGGAAGTCCAAGCCCCTCTCACACAAAACCTCCTTTACCCCCTCCCTCCAACTTTTCCTAGGCCGACCCCTACCCCGCCTTCCTTCCACTACAGACTGATACACTCTTGAAGTCATTCTGTTTCGCTCCATTCTCTCTACATGTCCGAACCACCTCAACAACCCTTCCTCAGCCCTCTGGACAACAGTTTTGGTAATCCCGCACCTCCTCCTAACTGACCCTCTTTTATAACCCATAAATGGTCCAAACGTATATATACGTTTTTACGTTAGTGCCCCAAACGTATATATACGTTTTATTTTTCCTGCCTTCATATTTGGCACGATTTGCCTGAGATGCCTTGTCAGCATAGAATGGGTCCTAACACTCAGTGTGCCGGTATTAAAAAAAATCTGGGACCGCTTAGTACCTTGTGGGAGCACCAGTTCAAATGAGGGCCAGCTAGAGCAAACAGCGCAGCAAACACCTGGGATTCACTGATGTTATGTAGTATTAACAGTCCCATTTTTTAGAGGAAAGTGATTTTGACCTTGAGTTTAGTGGCTTTGAGGTGGATGTGGCCACAAGTGGTTGAGGAAATATCAAAAAACCTCGATAATAACCCATGTGCAATATTTGTGCAACACCTTTTCAGAATGTCTTATAACCTATTCCCTAAGTAAAGAGAAACAATACTGGCTGGCTGGCTGCTTGGCTGGCTGGCCAGTTGTGTGGCTGGCCGGCTGCTGGTGGCCTGGCTATACAGTGGACCCCCGATTAACGATCTTTTTTCATTCCAAAAGTATGTTCAGGTACCAGTACTGACCGAATTTGTTCCCATAAGGAATATTGTGAAGTAGATTAGTCCATTTCAGACCCCCAAACATACACGTACAAACGCACTTACATAAATACACTTACATAATTGGTCGCATTTGGAGGTGATCGTTAAACGGGGGTCCACTGTATCTCTGCTTGTCTGTATCTATGTCTATCTCTGTCTCTGTCAGTCTGTCTATCTCTTTCTACTGTCTGTCTATCTCTGTCTCACAGGTACACATAAATACAAGTATACATAGTGTAAATTACCTAGGATAACCCAAAAAATCCAGACAAAGTGCTATACTCTGCTTGAAGTTGTGAGTAAACGTGATGACGGCACAGACTTGTGACTCTGAGACAGAGAGCTAGACGAATAGACAGGGAGCTTGACAAATAGACAGACATGTTTGTGTATCAGTGAGAACAAAAAGCATGCCCTAATCTTTTCTTTTCAAGCCTTATCACTGCACCCTCGAGAATGCTCATCAAACGTCAGCTCTTATCAAATGTTATTTCATCTTATCATGTCACTGTCAGGGGTAGACTTTGTTTTTCATGCTTCAAGGGAACTTATTATTTTATTATTATTACATCTCCTCCTCATCATCGTCATCGTCATCATCATCATCATCATTGCCACCATCATCATCACCGCCATCATCATCATTACCGCCATCATCATCACCGCCATCATTATCACCGCCATCATCATCATCACCGCCATCATCATCACTGCCATCATCATCACTGCCATCATCATCATCACTGCCATCATCATCACTGCCATCATCATCATCTCCGCCATCATCATCACCGCCATCATCATCACCGCCATCATCATCACCGCCATCATCATCATCACTGCCATCATCATCATCACTGCCATCGTCATCATCACCGCCATCGTCATCATCACCGCCATCGTCATCATCACCGCCATCGTCATCATCACCGCCATCGTCATCATCACCGCCATCATCATCATCACCGCCATCATCATCACCGCCATCATCATCACCGCCATCATCATCACTGCCATCATCATCATCACCGCCATCATCACTGCCATCGTCATCATCATCATCACTGCCATCATCACTGCCATCATCATCACCGCCATCGTCATCATCACCGCCATCATCATCACTGCCATCATCATCACCGCCATCATCATCATCACCGCCATCATCATCATCACCGCCATCATCATCATCACCGCCATCATCATCACTGCCATCATCATCACCGCCATCATCATCACTGCCATCATCATCACTGCCATCATCATCACCGCCATCATCATCATCACCGCCATCATCACCGCATCATCATCATCGCCATCATCATCACCGCCATCATCATTACCGCCATCATCATCACCGCCATCATCATCATCACCGCCATCATCATCACCGCCATCATCATCACCGCCATCATCATCACCGCCGCCATCATCACCGCCGCCATCATCACCGCCATCATCATCATCACCGCCATCTCATCATCACCGCCATCATCATCATCATCATCCACCAAAACATTGCTGGGACCTATAAATACTTTGTATATTTTCCAAGACAATAGTAAATGGCCAAGGCAGGTGTAAATGTCCACCTGTCAGTGTGTTTGTAACAGTTTGAGTACAATTTCAGTACCTAATACTAGTGTCAGAACAAAGATTGGTTATGAAATGACAAGAACTACTATAAACTGTAATTATCAGAACATAAAAAGTATATAAAATAATATGAAAAATAGAAAAAAAGGTATATCGGCAATACTTCTGCAAGTGGCAGGACTCCATGTTGCTGTCAAGTGAGCATCCAGTGCCAACTTCTGGGCCTCATATCTCGGTAAGTACTGACCCTAAATTTTTTTTTTTTATCCTATAACACTTAGAAAAATGTGCTTTTTTTTTTTTCAATACAAATGATTTTTTTATTTTTCAAAATATTCAGGGCACTGGGGTAGTGAACGTGTATATACGTTTGGACCATTTACGGGTTAAAGGGTTAAATTGCAGATTTCTCTTGCATTTTGAAATCACTATCCCAGTCTTTGGTTTTGTATCAGGTTGTTTTTCAAAGCACTCTACCTGTATTACTCCTAAAATTTAAATAGCTTAATATGTGATGAATAGATACTTAAAACATTTGTTGAATTTATTTATGTATTCTTCCAGTTTGGACCTGAATGCAGCAGAATCAGGTGTACAGCACAAGCCAACACAGCCAGGTAGAACAAACCTGAGTAGTGATGCGCAATCCAATCGTGATAACTGCTCCTGCTAAACTTTGCTGTTATTCTGGTCTTTGTGTGGTTTGTGTAGATTTGCTGGACTAAATAAAGGATTTTGACTGAGGAGAAAACTTTTGTTGATATGAGAGAGAGCAAGGTATTGTATGTCATTGAAGGAATACCAAAACTTTTTTTGGTCTTTGGATTTTTTTGTTTATATATACAATATATTGAATAAGATTTTGGACATTTCATATAAATCCAAGAACACTTTATTAACATACAGATGCATGTACTGTGTAGGAAAATATTGATAGAAGGATACTCATTGAAAGTAATTAACAAATGGCTAAAAGTCAAATGTTTTATTGGGCATACATTTATGACTAACATTAGATGTGCTCATTGTTGTAAACAAGATTGTGACCCTTTTAGATGTTGTAAAAGAAAAATTTATGCATTTAAATGGGTAAATAGTTCTTGAGCCTTTACACTGATGAGAGTTGTGTAAATGTCATTTAGCCTATGGATTCTGGCAAAGTAATAAAGTTTGGAAATTAATCACTAAAACAGAAAAGCAACGTAGATTAGTGGAAGGGTCTAATGTCATCAAAATATGCTGTGCAAAAAAGATTAACACAAGTATAAGAAATATGCTGTTAATAGACATTATCTTTTTAAAAGGCTTATGTAAAGTGGAGAAAAATATTTTTATAATCTGAATGGCTACATATCTTCATGTACCATAGCATTTAAAAATAGCAAAAAGGAGGGCAGTGATAAAGTAGATGTTCCAATTTGAAATTTACTGTAACCTAGTGGCATCACATAGATGTGGAAATAGATGATCAAACACCGGTTGGTATTAATAATTATTTGCCCTAAGGAATTGTGGACATTGCTTGGAAATAATTTAATATACTCTTATTAAGTAAATTTTTACTGTACGACAGTTCTGTACCATAATACAACCTACAGTAATACTTTAACATACCCGTCCCTTGCAATTTACGGGGCTTAAGACTTGTTAACTTAACATTAAGAAGGATAGAGTTGCATTCCCCCAGCAGGCACACAACCTTGCTTTGGCATTTTAACTGAAATAATAATGTACACCAGTAATAATGAACCTTGACTTGGCTGAAAATGTATACAGTACTTGCAACATGATACTGTCGTCTGAATTAATTCAAATTTTTTAATTGAGTTATTTATAATTAGTTTAATACAGTATACATAGGATATTTTCTACAGGAATAGTTCAGGAAGAATGTTTTTAAATGGGCTTATTTTTGGTTGAAGCACTTCAAGAATGCTTTGGGATTTCCTTAATGGAAAAATATAATACATGTACATATATTGTACTGCTTGAGCAAGTGTTTGAAGCAAAGATTGTTGCCAAAACAGAACCAGCCTTTAATTGTTTTATATATTTTGGCACTTTCCCATAATGCCCACGCTGCACAATATCCCACACTATACAAAGATCACCCATAAATTCTCTTGACTAGCACCATAACCTGAGCCCCTGCACTAGCTATTCAAGCACAGATTGCAAACCAGAGCTAGTAAACAAAGCTTGGTATAGAAAAATATACTGTCCTGCAGATGAACAAATTACCCTTGAAAATCCCATGGATTGCAAATTGAAGAGTATACAGATACTGTACCTTAAATTAGTTAACAATGTATTGCAAGAGTATAAATACCACAATATTTTTCTTGAAATTGAGTGGTGGCAAAATGTATGCTGCATTTATGCATGGCAACCAGATACAGTATAATTTTTTTAAGAATGACTACTAAACTAAAATTTAAGAATTTACTGTATGAACAACTAAAATTTAATTGATTTATTGGATGAACTACTGAAGTTTGAAGTCTTGTAATTACCTAATAGCTGTTCTTTTTAAGGAAATTTATACTTTATTTTGGCTTGTGTCAGCTAAGACTTAACAGCAGAATGTAATTTTGTGTGCTAATTTGTAAATATTGTATATCTACAAAACACTGTATTTTAACTTTTTAGTCATGTCTGTACTTCATAAGTGACAATTACAATATACTTATTTGTTTTCATATTTTTCACAGCAAAAGAATTTTTATGAAAATAACGAATTTGTCAAATTAGAAAATAAACTGATTGGAATATGGTTACAATAAAAGTATCTTGATGTCTTTCACAGTATTCTCCAGAATTCCGAAGAGCACATAAATTACTTCTTAGACTATCATTAAATTTTGAAATCCTATTTAATGAGAGGACCCATGTGGGTTTAGTGCTTAGTTATGATTATAATATTTAATAGACATGATGGGCAGAGTCCGTCCGAAGGTCATCAGTCAACTGAATTAATAGAAGAAATGTAGCAATTGCCACCTATTTTGTACCAGAGGTACTACTATGTGGGTTATATAGGTTTAGCACTTCTTTTTTTTTTATTATAATATGTGGGTTATAAACATGAATTCATTTCTGTCCTGAGTAGTTAGTTAGCATTATCTCTAGTTACAGTATCACAGCTCTTAATTGTTTACCACCTTATACCCTTTGGCTTATCAGTTCAAAAACTACAAGGTAGTTGCAGTCACCCTATTTGTAGCTGCAGGAGCAAAGCTATGCTTAGGGGTGTTCTGTTTTTATTGTATAATTTACTATCATGTATACTTTTTAAAATTCCAGTGGGTGTAGCACTAGTTACAGTGGAACTCCCGTATCCGCGATTTCAGTTATTTGCTGTTTGCCATGGCCCAAGAGTAACCCTTAATGGCCTCATAGCACAAAAGTATGAGGGTAGAAGTTCTTCAAAGCCTAAGAGAAGCTGTGGAGTGCTTCCCATCAGTGAAAAAGTGATAATTCTCCACTTATTGTGCATAATTTATTAAACTTTATAATAGGTAGGTAAATGAAAAATGACTTGTATATAGGGTTCGCTATTATCCGCAGTTTCAGCATCCGCAGCAGGTCCTTGTAACGTGTCCCTGATACTGGGGTCCTACTGTATATACTGCTTGTATCGTATTACTTTGTTCTACCGAGAGGCCACCATTTTCTTTGTTTACAAGTGTGACCTCTAGCTCTCCCTGTCGATGGTGCTAAGTCGTCTATATCTGTTCGTTTGCATCGTTTATGACCTTATAAGTGGTTATCATGCCCCCTTTTTCCTCATAACAGCAAAGAAGGGCATGTGTGAAATCTCATTGACAAAATCTGCCCTTTATTAAGGGATCTGTGTAACCCTTAGATCATATTTTATTGAATATTAGTGGAATTAGATTCCCTTAGAAAAATGGTATGATGTTGGGGGTTATAAATTTGTTTTGTCAATTTATCTTATTTAACGTGAAGTGTTATGACTGCAAATTGGAATAAATTTTGTATAGGTGGCAAGTGGCTTTCAAGCTTCCTTGACTATGTAAAGCAGGGTAGATTATAAAAATAGCATTGGTAAACAATTTCTCAGCTATTCATAAGCCCTTTAAATACTTCTCACATAAACCAGCGATAGTTATATATTATACTAGACACTACAGTGAAGTTAAAAAGACAAGTTTTATATATGTATGTATATATGTATTGTGTACATATACAGGTACATACATATGCAATTATATTCATATCTTGCAAGCCTTCATGTGTCTGTTGTATACTATGAAGTTCAGATATTAACTAGTTAGGGTTCATATTGCCATAACACCATGAATACAGATTAAATTATAAAAATGTTATGATACTAATGTTATGAAATTCTGTGACTGCTGTTTGTATGTTGACTATTTATCAAATTGACATAAAATTAGTTTTTTTCCTTTCAGGATAAGATTGTTAAAGACTAATACAAAAGGAAGCAGATTATTAAGTTACATTTATCTAACACCCTCTTTATTTCCAAATAGATGGGGTTGAGTACAGGTGCACTGAGTAAATTTGTTTAATTTTGTGATCAACAAGAGATAAAGTTCTTGTGTGGAATATTAATTTATGGTTGAATTGGCCTAAACATTTGTCTTTTTTTTTTTCTTCACAAGTGAGGATGTATAGATCCCAGTGAGTGAGAATTTGCATATGTGCATCATAAAATTGTTTTAATTATAAAAAAGTTACAACTTCTATACATCTTGCAAAACAAGGGAAGGATATATTTTGAAAATAATTATGGAATACTTGTCTGTAATTAATCAGCAGTGTATCTTAAATATTTTCTATGCTATATCCAACAGTTTCCCGGCTTTAAAAGTTAGAGCTTGACTCGTAATTTTGGGTTTCAGCATTTGTTAAATTACTGTAGTTTCAAGGGCTAGTAAGGATTTAAGGATATATGTTTTTTTAATCTAAGTACTATATTAAACAGAATTAAGAGAAATTAAATTGACCATATACCTGGCAAAAACTTTGAAAAGGTATACCAGAACAATGAATTATGAGGCATTGCACAGCTGAAGAGAATAAGCACCAAATTAACACAGTGGATAAGAAAACAGGTGTAGGGGTGATCAGAGCTATGAAGCTTAAGTTAATAATGTTAATTTGTTATGGGCTTTGAGCCTAACTTACAGATATGAAAGACAATATGTACACATTATAACCCTTGTGGTTTAGCACTCCTTTCTGATTATTAATATATATATATATATATATATATATATATATATATATATATATATATATATATATATATATATATATATATATATATATATATATATATATTATAATTTATATATATATTATTTTATATTTATTTTTTTTTTTTTTTTTACTAGTCGGCCGTCTCCCACCAAGGCAGGGTGACCCAAAAAGAAAGAAAATACTTTCATCATCCTTCAACACTTTCACCTCTCACATAATCACTGTTTTTGCGGAGGTGCTCAGAACACAACAGTTTAGAAGCATATACGTATAAAGATACACAACATATCCCTCCAAACTGCTAATATCTTGAACTCCTCCTTTAAAGTGCAGGCATTGTACTTCCCATTTCCAGGACTCAAGTCTGGCTATATAAAAATAACCGGTTTCCCTGAATCCCTTCACTAAATATTACCCTGCTCACACTCCAACAGATCGTCAGGTCCCAAATACCATTCATCTCCATTCACTCCTATCGAACACGCTCGTGCATGCCTGCTGGAAGTCCAAGCCCCTCGCCCACAAAACCTCCCTTACCCCTTCCTTCCAACTTTTTCGAGGACGACCCCTACCCCGCCTTCCTTCCCCTACAGATTTATACGCTCTCCATGTCATTCTACTTTGATCCATTCTCTCTAAATGACCAAACCACCTCAACAACCCCTCTTCTGCCCTCTGACTAATACTTTTATTTACTCCACACCTTCTCCTAATTTCCACACTCCGAATTTTCTGCATAATATTTACACCACACATTGCCCTTAGACAGGACATCTCCACTGCCTCCAACCGCCTCCTCGCTGCTGCATTCACAACCCAAGCTTCACACCCATATAAGAGTGTTGGTACTACAATACTTTCATACATTCCCTTCTTTACCTCCATAGATAACGTTTTTTGTCTCCACATATACCTCAACACACCACTCACCTTTTTTCCCTCATCAATTCTATGATTAACCTCGTCCTTCATAAAACCATCCGCCGACACGTCAACTCCAAAGTATCTGAAAACATTCACTTCTTCCATACTCCTCCTCCCCAATTTGATATCCAATTTTTCTTTATCTAAATCATTTGATACCCTCATCACCTTACTCTTTTCTATGTTCACTTTCAACTTTCTACCTTTACACACACTCCCAAACTCATCCACTAACCTTTGCAATTTTTCTTTAGAATCTCCCATAAGCACAGTATCATCAGCAAAAAGCAACTGTGTCAATTCCCATTGACACACCCTAGGATTTACTTCCTTTACAACCCCATCTATAAATATATTAAACAACCATGGTGACATTACACATCCCTGTCTAAGACCTACTTTTATAATAATACGTACACATTACTACAAACAGGCAAAACATTAAGGAATTTATTTGATCGCTGTCTCAGATTTTGGCTGTGGTGGCTCTTATTCATTTCTACCGTGCAATGCTTCGTAGTTGTAGAAGCAGCTTTTACACACAAAAAAAAGTGGCTGGCTTTGGCTTCCCTTCGAAGTACTGTTTTGGGAATAAATGAACAGGGTACACTTCCTTTCCTATATTCAGCTGGTTCTTTCTCAACCTTTCTTTAGTCATTTTTTGCAGGTCTTGGATATTTTTCATCACTTTTTTTATACAGTGGAACCCCGAATATCAGCCGTAATCTGTTCCAGAGGTCTGCCTAAATTCAAAGCAATATTTCCCATAAGAATTAATGTAAGTACAATTAATCTGTTCCAGACACCTAAAAATATTAACAAAATACATTTTAAGATTAATTGTAGTTTTACATACACAAAACAATGAGAACTAAATTAAATAAATGAACATTTAAATCACTTACATTATTTATTTATTTATTTATTTAGTAATTTGAGCATACATGCAGAGGTACAAAAAAATACAGGTAAGAGCAGCATGCCAAAGCCACTTATATGCATAGCATTATGGGCTGGCTTAAAATTAACTTAAGATTAACTAAGCAATGATGAAATCAGTGATAAGACATTATTGTAAACAGATAACTATAAAGCACAAATGAGTATTACAAAGACAGGTCATATGGCTTTTATTGAAGACTTGTTGGCTTATGGAAGACAGGGAGGAGGAGAGATTGAGGACTGGTTATTGTTTGGATGGGGAATTCCCCTCCATAAGGATTTCAGATATCGAAGCCCTCTCTGGGGTTACTTCCCTCCCTGCCTGCTACACTCCGTTTCCCTGCTACACACCCTGCCTCCCTGCTATACTCCCTGCATGCTTGCTACACACCCTGCCTCCCTGCTATACTCCCTGCATGCCTGCTACACTCCCTGCCTCTCTCCACATCTACCATTGGGCCCATGGTGACTTGCTTCACAGTTGCACTTAATAAACAAGCACAAAAACCAATGAATTTTAAGGAAATGTTTGGATGAATTCACGGAGTATATGCTCATTCACCAAGAGACACAGGAAGACTGACTCACCTATGCGCGGCGTCCCGGCGGGAGGTGGGCTAACACGTATAATACAGGTGATTTGCGAGGCACCAGCTCGAATACGGAGCAAAATTTCCGCCCAAAAACTGGTCTAAATACGATTCAGCCAACAAACGCAGCAGCCAATATTCGAGGTTCCACTGTATTTTCAATCTTTTCCTTTATTATTATTGTCAGTTATCATCATGCATATTGCCCTCAAAAGAAAAAATACATATGATCTGCATATTGAGCAATACTGTGTTTAGGTTGAAACTATAACAATGATTACCACCAGAGATAGTATCCAAATGTAATGATGGCTGACCCACATTATTGTAAATGTGAATTACATAATAATGTACATTTTACTTATTTCACCTCTTCAAGGGGGGCTCCTTGGCGTGGTGAAGAGGCTCTTGGTCTGAGGAATTAGTCCTGTCGGTCTCCTTCCTCAGACCGAACCTAATTACCCCCCAATCCCCCTTTCCCTATCCCATCCTCCCCTTTTTCCTTTCCTCCTCATCCTCCCCACCCCTCCCTTTTGCCCTTCCTTTTTTGGCCTTTGGGATTTTTCCCACGGGCATGCTAGTTCCTGGGTAGGGGAAAGGGTACCAGGGTCCATCCCATTCCATTGAGGTTCTTGGCGGTGGCGTAGTTTGCCGTGGAATCTGGATCACCTGGGGATGTCCCGATCCCTCTCTGGTATCCCGGAGGGTGGCTTTGGGTGTCTTTCGGGCGACGGGTGTATCTCTGGAAGCCACCTCTCGGATTCCGGGGGTGGTGGCCGAAGGAGGTATGCTTTGTGGCGGATATCCGGCTGCCCCCTCTTGTCCACCGAGGTAGCTCGGCAGATGTGAGGTTGCTATCCCGGATTGCTGGTTTACTGGCATGATGGGTAGGGTATGGCACGGGTTCCATGTTGCATCTGCGCTACTTGCGGTGCTGAGGTCCTCTTGGGCGCGGATGGAGATTTCTGGCCCTTTCATTCCTCCTAGGAACTATCCCTCCCCAGTCCCCCCTTTTTTATTATTTTTTTTTATTTTTCTTTTCTTTTCTTCTTTCTTTTTTTTTTCTTAAAAACAAAAAGAAAGAAGTAACCTAACCATGGAGTACTCGATCCATGACCCCGCTACCCCCGGGCCCCCTTATTGTTACCGCACCCCGTTCTGACCTCGCCTCGTCTTTTGGCCACTCTTCGGACATTCCTAAGGCCCTTGTACCTCTTGCTGGTGCTGTTTCCTCACCCGCTTCAGGTACCAGGGCTTCCACTGACTCCTTCGATTTGTCTGACCTCCGCTTTCCTTTGACTATGC